CATTCATTTAAATCGTTTAAATCAGACATATTTTTATCTAAAATTTTGTAAAGTAATGAAGAGACCTTTCGTAATTTACTTCGACACCATGTGATACTTAAAGTATCTCGTTTAGCGGGCAAATTTGCACGCTAAAACATAGTAGCATGTGAAAATGACGGTTTAAAGTATAATTCATTCCTTAAAAATTTTGATGCGTTATAACCTTATAACCTTATAAAGTATAATTCACTCCTTAAAAACCATGATTTCCACGGGATTCGAGATCTTAGGAGTTGATTTTAACACAAAATACCAATTCTCAAGCTTTAACTATTCAAAACAAATGTCACATTTCACGATTAAACTTCTCTATGGAACGGATGAAACGGTTGAATTGCCGCTCGAGATTGGCTCTGATGATAACATTCATCAAGTTAAACAAAAAATAGAAAACAAATTCAAAATTAAGATTAAGGTCCAAGAATTATTTCTTGGCGATAAAAAGCTCGAAAATGATCAAACAGTAAAGGGTTGTAAAATTAGTTTGGATGAAAAAATCAGACTCGTTAAAAAGGCTGAAGGTTCCATGCAAGTGTTCATTAATGATACTAGTGACAATGGCAAATCAACAGCTATTATCATCAAACCAACTAGTACCGTACTTGAATTGAAACAAAACTATGATAAGATTCCAATAGAAGCTCAAAGGCTTATATTTCAAGGCAAACAGTTAGAAGATCATAAAAAACTGTCAGATTACGGAATTGTAAACGAGTCAGATATTAATCTTGTTGCAAGATTACCCGGAGGCCTTTAATTTAGAGAAAGAGAATTTACGATTTTTTTTTTTTTTTGCAACAAGATAACCATAATTCTGGATCATATATTATCATGTATTTTACTTTGTTTGTTTTACATGGGAATTTGACATGTTTTTGTAAATAGATATATCTAAAAACATGTAACGAATAAATATTCAATTTTTTCACACTATTCAAACCCATTTCAACCTTACATATAACCTAACGATATTATTATGTAATTTTATCTAAGATCGTAATATTTCTATAATAATTTCGTACAAGTTTTATACTAGAATACCAGTTTTATATGAAAATGCGTAATTTTATTATTCAAATCGATACGTAAGAACGTATCATTGAAGATTATTACGCTTATGTGAATTTATAGAAGGTTGTAAAACTTTATATAAACTTATATAACTTTTAACTTGAAGTATTTCACGAGAAATATAATACATTGTTCTAGTATCAATTTCTAGAATATTTTTAATTTCTTGATTTCTATTGGTCCATATTATTTTAAACCTTTAGTTGATGTCGATCAAACTAATGTAGAAGAAAGTTTTGAAGAAATTCCTATCCGAAATAGATCAGATATAGATACTCTTATCCTTCTTTTGCAACAAAAGTTAAAAATACTGAAAAAAATGTTAGATCAATGGAGAGGAAAGATTGTCTTTGAATTGCAGAATAACAATAATTACTGGAAAAAAAAGAACGCGAAAATATGTGTTCAGTTGATTAAAGCTAAAATGGGTTCCTACTAAAAATAATTAAAAAAAGTGTTCTTTGAATATGTGTAACTTTAGGATTGAAAAGTATTTAAAACTCTCATAATTAGATGAGGAAGCATCCTCACTTCGTGAGACAACTTTATATCGATATCTAAATTGCAGGTAAGTTTAATCTATGCGTATATCCTGTAATCCTGTAATTCACAATGTATTTTTCAAAGAGGGGGTAATTTATTTTTATTTTTTTTTCAATATAAGACAGAGATGTTAACGTCTACAAAATTTAGATGTGGAAGAATTCGCTATACGGACACGTGTAGTAATACTACTTTTACAAGAAACTGCGTTTCAGCTTGAAGAGCTAGGTTTTGTTTTGTTTATTATATACTTAATATCATCCAAACTAAACTTTGAACTAGTCAATGTCATAAAAGAATTCATTAGACCTATCTTTTCTTTTCCATTATGTTCTTGACTAAAAAGAAAATAAACATTTTGAACTCTTTTGATTCTTTTCTTAAAAACATCTTCTAGATATTGGTAGTTAACTATTCTCTGACTTCCTTGTTAACTTCCACTTGAGCTATTTGGTCATTCTTAACTTAACTATGGTGAAAATCGAAACATTGTGATAGGAATTCTTCAAAATTATAATAACATTTAATTACTTTTTGCTTCATTTTTTTCATTTCAGGATTTAACTTTAATGATTCTATGATATAAATGCAAAAAAAAATTATGAGTATTTATCATTGAAGACATTGGGATGTAATTGAATACAGATGCAAGTTTTTTTTAGATGATTTACCTATTTGTTATTTTTATTTAAATCATTCATTGTTTATCTATAGTTTTATTATTTTATCATTTTACCTTCTTTTGTTAACTCTAATTAGATTTGAGCTACTCTTCCAAACAGATATTCTAACAGTGTTGATATATATTTTGTTATATTAAAGATAAAAAAAAAATTGATAAAAGTTAATTTATTGTTATAGTAATATATGACACAATAGATGAACAATATATCACGTGAAAAATTAAATATATACAAAAAAATTTTGCTCGTCGATCAGTAGGACTGATAACCAGTAAACAATTGTTGCTACCGCATTTTTCGTCAACTCATATGCCAAACATATGCAATATGTGGAGGAGGGAGTAGTAATAGTAATGAATGACAATGGGTAGTAAAGAACATGGACACGAGAACAACATTACACTTTGTGGCAATGTTTCACACGGGTGTATAATCTAAGAATAGTTCTAAATAAATAAATAGTAACGGAAAAAAATAACTGGAATATGTTATTTTGAAAAAAGAAAATCTACAATACCGCATTTTTTTTTCTTCAATAAACACAAAAGGTAAAAATATGGAAAGTTGGAAAATTGAATCGCGAATAAAACTGGAATTACCGTTTCATTTTTTTACGGTTATCTTTGAATGAGAATTATTTCATTCTAATTTATTTATTTCATTCTAATTTATTTATTTATTCTATTTATTTATTTATTTATTTATTTATTTATTTTATCTATCTATCTATTTTATTTATTCATTCTATATTTATATTTATGAAAGAAAGAAATAAAGGAATATTCCAGTTAAATTTTGACCAATTTGATAAATATTTTAACGCCCCCTTGGTAATAAAGTTTAGTTATTGTTGTACATTATATAATAATACCAATACCAGGATATTGTCACAATTGTATATATAATAGTATAATAATGATAAATATAATAATAATAAGTAATAAAGGGGGGTTGGGATCATATGCAAGTTTAACCTCCCCTTCATCTTCATAATCTTAAATAAAAATTATACAATAATAATAACAATAATAATAACAATAATTAATAATAAATAATATAGCAACAAAATACCCGATTTGTATCATGTAGTGACGACATTTCATTCACTCCAACGAAAAAATTTTCTAACCTTATTCCTTTTTAGTAAATTCTAAAAATTCCACGCGACCTGTTACCCCCATCGAATCAGAATCAAAAAAAAAAAAAAATTATGTTGTATGAGTAATTTTTGTGTACGTTGTGCATTTATAATGTTTGAATATAATAATATGTTGTTGAGTTTATAATTGTGAACATAATGTAATTGTTATGTAAATAATTGTAAACAATCAATTTATAGTTCAGGTTTCATCTCCCGCTAAAATATAAATATAAAAAAAAATAAAATAAATAGAAATGTAATACGAAAATTCTCTACGTCATAATGCACATTCGCGGGTTAGTCTACTTGATTTGTAATATTTTTGTATGTATTTGTATTGATTGATTATTATATAAAGCATTATTATTGTAAAGCATTATTACTATTGTAAGCATTATTATTATTCACTGAAAGTGATAAAAAAAATATTTATGTGATAATTCATTATTATAATTTAACAATGAAGTTGATTTTTTTTATTTAGATTAGCGAACTAATGATCCTCCCGTTGTTATACCATAATAATTATTTATTTGGTGATTATACTTATAATATTTATAATAGAAAAATGAAAAAAAAAATGTTCATTCAAAAAAAAAAAAAAAAAAATAAGATTCATTCATAATGTTCCATCCTTAAATACATAAAGACCGTCGTCCACCACTGATAAATGATAATTGATAGTTGATAATTGAGTCGATTATTGAATTTTATTGATTGATTGAGTATTATTGATTAATTGATTAATTGATTGAAAATAAAGTTTATTAAAACTTACTTATTACTTATTTATTATTATCATTATTACTTAGTTTTATTTATTAATATTATTACAATTATTCATTATTATCGTATTAAATGATATTCTCTGTTTGCGTAAAGTTTATGCGAAAGATTATATGTGAAAATTTTTATGTGAAAGAGAGATGATAGAGAAAGTTAAAAAATAAAAATAAAAATAAAAAAAAATAAAAATAAAAATAAAAATAAAATAAATAAATAATTTTTTTTTTTTTAAAAAAAAAACAATTAAATAATTTTTAAATAATTTTTTTAGAAAATTGGTTACGAGAAATACGAGAAAAGAAGTGATTCACGGAAAAATAATCGATTGCCGTGATTATATATCAAATATATGAATAATTAAATTCCATTTATTTTTTCCTTATTCATTATTATCATTCATTATTATCATTCATTATTTCCTTATTCTTTCTTACTTTTTCCCTTTCTTCCTTTCTTTCTTTCTTCCTTATTTCTTTTCTTTCTTCATCATATTGTTGGTCTCCTTTTCAATTTTCTTTTTTTTCTTTGGTAATTATTAATATTGTATCCTAAATAAATAAATAAAAAAAAAACAAACAAAAAAAAAAAAAAAAGAGAAGAGCTAATCCATTATATAATATATATAATTTTGACAGATTTTTTCCAATTCGTCACAATTTTATTTATTATTATTTATCGTTATTTAAAGTATTTTAAATAAAAACATATAAATGTATATATACAGTTAAAATATTTAAGTTAATATAGTTAATAAAGTTTCTATGGTTACATAATATCCATTATTTGACATTCATTAAGTTAAAATTGTGGTTAAATTCAATTTTACAATTTTTTTTAATTTTTAGTTAGATCTAAAATTTTTGGGTCCATTTTATTCCGGCATATAAAATTTGTTCTCCGTCATTTTTTTTTTAAAAAAATATTTCATTGTTCAGGTTTCTTGACTTGTTTTTTTATTTTAGGGAATAACTTTTGAATACTTGACCACTTGAGTTGACTTGAAGGACCTTTTTATTTTTTCTTTTCTTCTTGTTACCTTCTTCTTCTCGTTTTCTTATTTCCTTCCCTGTCTTTTTTCCAATTTCTTAATTCCAATTTATTATTATTATTGTTATTATTATAGTTATATTATAAGTTATATTATTGTTATATTTTATTATTGTTATTATTAAATACCTGTTATTTATTCCATTTCAGTAAAGATTACTAATCAAATAGTACTTAACAAATTAAAACTGATAATACCCGGCTTTCATTTTTTCCCCCCCTTTTCTTTTCTTCCTTTTTGTAGATTTATGTTTATTTTTGCATCATCATCATCATCACCATCTTCATCATCATCTACATTATCATCTTCCTCTTCTTTCTTTTTCTTCCTCACCTTCATTCATTTCATTCATTCATTCAAATTCGTCCATCAATCCATTCATCCATTCATTCATCCATCAGGCTAGATATCATCAAGTAATAACATCATCGTCATCATCATTACTAAAATCATCTTTTATCATTATCCGTTGCATTTTTTTTTTGAGACAGTATATACTTTTTTTATTTTAATTTATTTTATTCAATTAAATTTAAATTTAATTAAATAAATAAAAATTATTTTATACTTTATCTAAAATAAATAAAAAGTATATATAAATAAATATATATATATATATTTATTTATTTATTTAATATCTCTTTTATTATTTATATTTGGATTATTCGGATGTTGTTGTTAAAAAATTTTTACTTTTTGATGTCACATTTTCTATAATAATAATAGTAGTAATAATAAAAAATCATTCATCCTTCTCCTTCTCCTTCTTCTCTCTCTTCCTTCTTATTTACTTATTTATTTCAACTTGAATTACTTCTATAAAATATTAATTTTTTTTTTTTTTTTTTTAATTTCTTTCTTTAAATTTAATTTCACTAAAAAAAAAATTTATAATCTACAAAATATAAATTATAAATTAAATCATAAATTCATATCCGCATTTCTCAATAAAATTGTAACGAATAAATAGTTAATCAACGAAACGACAAAAAAAAAAAAAAAGAAGCCGTTACAAAAGAAAAAAAAACTTTATTTTCTCTTCTTTCGTAGTTTCATTATTCATTATCTATCACTTTCTTTTCCATCTTTCATTGTTAATTCTTCTTCCCCATTGATTTATTATAAATTAATTAATTAGTTAAATTAATTAAATTAAAAAATTAATTAATAAAATTAATAAACAATCCTCTCTTTATACTTTTTTAATTCCATTATTTTATATTATTTTATATTATTTTTATAATTGAGTTATATTAGATTATTTTATTTACATTATATCGTCATATATATATATTTTTAATCACATATTTTATTTTTTTTCACGTTCCTCTTTTTTCTTTCTTCTCGACTCAACTCGACTTTTCACTCAACTCTCAACCATACATAAACAAATTGATAAAAGTTTTTTTTTTTTTTTGTGACGTGCTTTCTTTTTTTTTTAAAAAAAAAAAAGATTAAAAAGAAAGAGCCTCTTTCGATAAAAATAAAAATAATATTTTTTATATTATATATTATATATATTTATTCTACATATACATTCATTCATTAAATTTATTAACGCGAACAAATCTCTTATATATTTTTGTTCGTGTATTTTCAATTCCATTCACGATATTACATTACATCATATTTTACAACAACGTTATATATCCCATTAAACATCCATTCATCTTCCTCCTTCTTCTCGTTTATTAATAAACTTTTTTTTTCTTTCTTTTTATAAAAAAGAAATTTAATTCTACAACAAACAAACAAACAGGAATTAAATAAATTAAATAATAAAATGTCTAAAAGTTCGGTATTAAACACGTATAATTTCGTAAGTACTTTTAATCTCCCACGAACAATTGATAGGTAAAATTCATTCCACACGCCAAAAAAAAAAAAAAAGAATAATGAATTCGATGAATTCTTTGCTTTTTTTTTTTTTATTTTATTTTATTTTATTTTTTTTGAAAAATTTATTGTTTATTTATTATTTATTATTTATTTATTATTTATTATTTATTATTTATTTTAACAGTGAACATTATCAACTCATTATCCGTCAACAACCAAAACAGGCAAGATTATGTAATTCAAAGGAACGAGGTATTTTTGCGCGTTTACTACGAAATAAAATTTAAATTAAATATTAAAATTTTTAACTTTATTATTTTTAAGTTTATTATTATTAAAATTTTACTTATTATTATTATTAAATTTAATTTTAGATCGAAGACCAATCGATCCTCCCCCGATCATTCAACTTAAAATTGAAGGTTATAGGGAAGATGCACAGTAAGTTTTAAAATTAATTAATTAATTTATATATATATATACTAGATCAAATTTGTGTATAACTAATTATGCACTAAACTAATTACACATAACACATTAAAATAATTGTTAGAAATTTCCTTCAAAGTCCATATTATTTCATGTGTGCTAACCTTGTATATCCCGGTGACGATAATGAAAATATTACTAATTCATCAAAATATTTAGCGGGAACAGTGGTTTCATCACTTCACAAATTAAAAGATATTGATAATACTGATGGAGGATTTTTTGTGTTTGGAGATATTTCTGTTCGAATTGAAGGTCGTTATCGTTTAAGATTTAGTTTGTTTGAGATTATAAGGTAAAAAAAAAAATGATTATTATATATTTATTATTACATTAATTTATTATATTTATTATCATATTATTTTATTACATTTATTTATTTATTTATATTAATTTATATTTATTTATATTTATTTATATTTATTTATATTTATTTATATTTTATTTATATTTTATTTAAATTTATTATATGTAATTAAGAGAGGAGGTTATTCACGTACAATCAATTTTATCCGATGTATTCACTGTTTATTCACCAAAGACATTTCCTGGTATGTCGGAATCAACATTTCTATCTAGATCGTTTTCCGATCAAGGTGTTCGCATAAGAATACGAAAAGAACATCGAATTCAAATGTAATTTTTTAACTTTAATTTTTTATAAATCTTATATCTATGACTATTATCAATACATTGACTATATTTGACTATATTTGACTATATTTGATTAATATATGATTAATAGGAAACGACCACAATCTAGTAGACATTCAGACATTGCAGATTGTGAAGATGATATTGTTAATAATGATAACGTGAATATTAATAAAATGGATACAGATAATAATAATAAAAGAATGGATAATAGAAGAATGGATAATAGAAGAATGGATAATAGAATGGATAATAGAATGAATGATAGAATAAATAATAATAATAATAATAATAATAATAGAATGGATAATAGAATGGATGTGGATCTGGAAATGAATAATAATAACTTTAATAACAACATGATGAGTTTAGGAGAAAATCTTACAACGAAGAGAAAAAGAGCCTCATTTGAAGCGTTACCACCAATATTAGAATCACCATCACCTTCTTATTACACTCAATCACCACCTCCATCATCATCTTCTACTTCATTTTACAACAATTATCATAATGGCAATAATGGTGGTGATAATTATAACAACAACAACAACAACAACAATAATAATAATAATTCACTCCTTTATTCATCTCATAATGTAAATAATCGTTATGAACAACATTTACCAAGAAATAATCACTCGTATTCTACTTATTATACTCCTTCGTATTATGACACCGAACGAGAATCTGATCGTATGTTTATTCATCCCAATTCTATTAATATAAATTCCTCATCTCAATATAATCAAAATAATCGTCAAAATAATGATCCAAATAATGGTCAATATGGACAATATAATAATCATCAATATAATAATCAATATAAAGATTCAATGATAGATGATCGTATGAAAAGATTAAGGTTATCTACTAATCCGGAATCAACATCTTCATACGAACCTCGATCACATTTCAATCAATTCTCTGACCATCATTATCATTATTCTCAACCACAACGAAGAACTGCAACTTTACCTCCTTTATTAGAGCACTCATCTTCATTTAATCATCAATCTTTTGATAACAATTCTTCATCTCAAAGATTCAATAATTCTAATAATTCTTCTAATAATTATTCTATTAATAATCCTTCAACATCTCAATCATCGCAATCACAACAATTATCATTATCATTACCACAATTATCATTATCATTATCACCATTACCACCAAATAGAGTGGTTAACACTTTACAATCAATTACTACTTCTAATTCTGCTACAATTAACACTTCGCAACTCCACCACCACCATTATCATAATTCATCATTATCAACAATTAGTAAACAATTACCAACTCCACGTACTTCGATTGACGTAAATTATAATTATAATAAAGATAAAAACAATAATTACAATATCAATAACAATAATAACAATGATAATAATGATAACAGCGATAATAGTGATAATAATACTTCAATACCGAGATATGCCAATCATTTTACTTCAAGTCCTTGCGCTTCTTATAATCAATTACCAAATTCTCCTACTATCACAAATAATAACAATTCTTTCTTTTCTAACAACAACAATAATAATTATTCTCAATTATTATCTATTCCTTTATCACCTTCACAACAACCTCCGCCTCCTTATTCTTCTTCTCCCCCTTCTTCATCCGCATTTTCCTCATATTCCTCCACTATTACAAGGTTACCACCAATCACCGAATTAACTGATAACTTAAAAATTGATGATTTTCCTTATTGTTCTAACAAAAGAAAGGAATCATCAATTATCAATAACAATGATATTAATAATTTTAATATTAATAATGTTAAAAGTAATGTTAATGGTAAAGTTAATGGTGGTGATATAATTTATTCAAATTATTTTTCTTCTGATCAATCAATATTACAACCTCAATTTCAATATCAAAATCAACAACAACCTCATAATGTAAATGTTAATTTAAATGTTAATTTAAATGTTGGTGGTGTTGGTGATGTGATGATTCCAAATTCTCATCATCATCATCATCATCATCATAATAATAATAATAGTCATCATCATCATTTCAAAATTAATTAATAGTAACAGTTAATAGTTTAAAAATAATAACAGTAATGATCTAAATTACCATAATAATATGTTGACTCTTCTATACCAACATCAACAATTACTCAAGAAAGTATTATTAGGGGTAATAACATTAATTGATTTGATTTGATTATTATTTGACTTTAATTAACTCTTTTGACTTTAATTAATTTTAATTTACTCTTTTGATTTGTTGACTCTATATTAATTATTAACAACAAAAAAAATGATTTGATAATTATTATTATTATTATTTTGTCTCTTCTCATCCATTTATTTATAAATTCTTTCTTTCTTTTTTTTATTATTATAATTGTAAATGATATTGTAATTAAAAAAAAATGTTTATTTATTTTTCTATCTTTAAAAAAATATATATATTTATTATTTTTTATATAAAAACAAACAAAAGCAATTCAAAAAAAAAAACATTTTTTAAACATTTGTTTTTTTTTAAAAAAAAAAAAAAATTGATTAAATTATAAAAAAAAATGTTTTTTAATATAAAAAAGTTTTTTTATTCAAATTGAATTTAAATTAAATTTGTCAAATTATTTTTAGTATTTAATAATTTAACAGGTTAGACCTTATACTAGTTAAAAATTTACAAATATTATATCTATTTATTGATCAAATGAAAAAAAAAAATAAATGGAATTCTGGTTTATATAGTCTAGTATATACACTCCTCTAGAAAAAGTATTTGTGGAATGATAAAATTTGAAAATATTTGAGGAATCGATAAAATTCGAAAATGATTAACAAAGTATGTAACATATTAAAGTTAGGTTTTTAATAATAAAATATATAAAATGCTTATAAGTAACCTTAAAGAATAAGACAAAATACATACAATATATAAATTTCATATCTATCTAACTCTAAATAAAAGAATAATTGACATTCAAATTCAAAGTAAAATTTTTAAGAAATCTATGCTAAAAAATTGACCCATTCCAATTTTTTGAACCACTTTCATAACTATATTTGAACTACAAAGTAAACAGATTTGGAAGGTCATTAAATATATATGTTTAAATTTTGTATTTTTTTGTTAAATATTTATTGAGAAATTTATATTTGATGTGTATTAAATTGTTGATCTTTGTAAAAATTATAAAATTATATATATCACAAATGAAATAAATCAGATTGTGAAATAATTTTATTTTATTGTTATTATTGTATCAATAATTTATAATATTTACCAATTATTAATTAATTTAAATTAAAAATGTCAAAACTTAGAGAATTAACTGATTTTGATAAAGGTGAAATTATTGATCTTTGGAAAGGAAACCACAACAATAGTAATATTTCTAGAATTCTGGAACATCCAGAATTAACAGTTGCTTATATAATTAAAAAATATAAAATAAATGGTACAACTTCCAATACCCCTAGAACTGGAAGGCCTGTAATATTAACTGAAACTGATAAAAGACAATTAGTAAGAATTGTTAAAGACAACAGAGCAGATTCAATTATAGAATTAACTGATAAATTTAATAGTTCTTTAGAAATAACAGTTAGTACTGATACTGTAAGGTGTGTTTTACATGAATCAGGATACTATGGAAGAGTAACTAAGAAAAAACCATTAATTTCAAAATCAAATTCAAAAAAAAAAGATTAAATTAGTGTAAAGAAAGAAAAAACTAAAATGATGAATGGGAAAAAATTATTTTTAGTAATGAATCACGTTTTGAAATATTCAAAAATGATTCTCAAAAATGGGTGTGGCATACAAAAGATGAAAAATATCATAAAGATTGTTTACAGCCTACTGTCAAATATTCAGATGGTATTATGGTTTGGGGTTTTTTTACAAAATATAACAAAGAGCCTTTAGTTGTAGTTGAAGGTAACATTAATGGTACAAAATATATAGAATTACTTAATCAATATCTTTTATCTTTTTTGAATGAAATTGGGTTTTGATTATATTTATCAAGATGATAATATCTCCTGTCACATTGCAAAAAAGTTAAAGAATGAAAAGAATCAAAATCAATTAATAGTCTAATTTGGCCTGCACAAAGTTCTGATTTAAATCCAATTGAAAATTTATGGTCTGAATTGGATAAAAAAATAAGGAAACATGAGCAAAAACCAAAAACAAAACAGAATTAATTAAAATATTACAAGAAGAATGGGATAATTTGGATACCAATTTTTTAATTAAATTAATTGATAGTATGCCATAAAGAATTAAAGGTATAATTGAAAATAAAGGAAATCCAATAAATTATTGAATTAATATTATCTTTTACTAATATTTAAAGAAAATTTCTTATCTATTTTACAATAAAACCATGAGAAAATTTAATATTAAAATTTTTTTATAATATTTTTTATTTTTTCAAATTATTTAATTAATACATAATAAAAAATTATAAAACTTTAAATATATATAATCTAGAATGTACTGAATCTGTTTACTTAGAGGTCCAAATATAATTACAAAAATGGTTCAAAAAATCAGGATGGATCAATTTTTTAGTATCAATTTTTTTAAAAATTTTATTTTGAATGTTGTTTATTATTTTATTTGAAATTAGATAGATATGAAATTTATATATTATTTGTATTTTGTCTTAATCTTAAGATTACTTATAAGCATTTTTTATATTTTATTATTAAAAACCTATCTTTAATATGTTACAACGTTTGTTAATCATTTCTGAATTTTATCGATTCCTCAAATATTTCAAACCCGTGTTGATCATTTTTAAAAATTAAAAAAAAAAAATTCAAAAACAATTACCAATCGGAACCACATATAAAAACTTCCTTAACTATTAATATAATAATAAAAATGGTACTAAGTACAGTTAAAGTTTAACATATGGAGCATCTACTGTAAAAATTTCAGATTTTTAAATTGAGAATTAAGTTTAATATTAATGGTTGAATATTGGATATTTTAAAATTATACTCTAAAGTTTAATTATGTATTATTCTCTCAATTCTTAATATATAAGGCTGAAAGTTTTACAAAAGATATTCCATATTTCAGGCTTCAAGGTAATGTTGTCACCAGTGGTTCTCAGTTTTCTCAAAAACCACCTAATAGAGTGACTTGACGGTTCTTTTAAAGAATTTATAGTCCTTTCCTGAAAGTAAGACTGTTGTCTCATTATTTTAGAAGGCACCACTGATTTAATTATTTTAGAAAGGGAATCAGACCTTTCATCTATTTTATTTTGATATCTTTTAAGTTCGTCATCATCCTTAATATTATTATTCATCCATTAATCATCTTTTAATTTTATTAACTTTAAATATTATTTTCAATTATCCAGATTAATTATTATTTCAAGTCCAGAATTTATTTTAATAGTTTATAATTAATTTCGTTAACTCAGGAATAATAACATTATACAATTATACAATCAAGTATTTAATCCTATAACATCCATTATTCCTTTATTAACTACATGTTATATTATTTAATAATTATTTTTATAATTTATATTTATATTTCC